TTAAAGTTCATTCAGTAAAATTCGTCATGGCTATCGGTATTTCCTTTGAGTTATAATCAGCTGTACACTGAGGAAAAACAAACAAGATTTCTTTATCCAGATATTCGATCGATAGCAGTAGCCAATTTAGGGGATGGGGCCTTTTTAAAATTTCAAAAAATATTGAGAAAAAAATAATATATTCCAATTTTGTCTACAGGTGCAGTAATCATACATTTACTTAGCTCTACTTCAGCCGTACATGGTTGGGACTGAGGTAAAAAAGAAATATAAAATAGTACCTAGATGGGAAGACACTTTTATATACAGTAGTAAAATTCATCATCATCACATCACCAGGCAAAATAATGCGTCAACAAATTTTTCATGATCTCTTGTTAACGATTTTCGGCAAACATAGAGATCTAATTAATACTGTACATATAATGTAAAATTAATTATCATTGATCGTATGTTTCGAGGTAAAAAAGAAATATAAAATAGTACCTAGATGGGAAGACACTTTTATATACAGTAGTAAAATTCATCATCATCACATCACCAGGCAAAATAATGCGTCAACAAATTTTTCATGATCTCTTGTTAACGATTTTCGGCAAACATAGAGATCTAATTAATACTGTACATATGATGTAAAATTAATTATCATTGATCGTATGTTTCGAGGTAAGAAAGAAATATAAAATAGTGCCTAGATGGGAAGACACATTTATATACAGTAGTAAAATTCATCATCACATCACCAGGCAAAATAAAGCGTCAACAAATTTTTCATGATCTCTTATTAACGATTTTCGGCAAACATAGAGATCTAATTAATACTGTACATATGATGTAAAATTAATTATCATTGATCATATGTTTCGAGGTAAAAAAAAAATATAAAATAGTACCTAGATGGGAAGACACTTTTATATACAGTAGTAAAATTCATCATCATCACATCACCAGGCAAAATAAAGCATCAACAAAAAATTTTTCATGATCTCTTATTAACGATTTTCGGCAAACATAGAGATCTAATTAATACTTGTATTTTTATCATACTTGTATAATAAAGGCACGCACTCGAGTCATGTATTACAGTTAATTCAGATGTTTGTGGACAGAAAACACCGACCGGAATCTTGTTAAGTTATAAAATAAGATGTTACCTGCCTGTAAAGTGGTCTTTCGTTAAAATCTGGTCATTTATGCAGTTCAATTCTACAATTTCCAGGAATATTCTTGACTTCCTTAGGAACGTGATTGGGACCACCCCCTTAAAATAGTTGGGGTACGTGTCGCCTGGCACCCCCGTACATGCTATTCACCAGAAGACAAGGCATTATACAGGCATTATACAGTAATTCGGCACCAAATCCTGAATTTACGTGATTTCCAACATTTTTTTTATATGAAGAGAGTAGAATAGTAGGGCTATTTCAAATAAATCAATTATCAATCATTATTATACTTTTTAAAATATCAACAATTATTTTACACTATTTGCAAATAAATTTGTTTTATTGTATTAGCTATAAAATTTTAATTGGTGTTTTTAGGTAAGAAAATATAATAATAGGCCTATTCCTATATAGGGCCTATTGATGTAAGATCACATACTTTTTTTTCCGGCTCCTGAGTCTCAACTGGGTCGGCACACACTGGGCAGGCCTCAGTATTTGTCAATTAATCGTACCTATCATTGTATTTAAAATTAAAATTGAATTATTGTTGTAGATCCATCTACCCTGAACTTAAATATTACAGAGGTTATAATATCTAACAATTTCCGTGTTTACATTCTGGGACGTGACGTACGTACGAACTTGCGTACTTGCGTACGTGTGTTGCGTAAATGAGTACGCGCAGACTGTTGAAGGTATGTTAACCAATCAAAAGCGTCAGCGGCAAATCAAATTAAAGCGCTTCGTAACCAAGGCACTGCACACACATCCTAGGCACGGCGTATAAGCCCAGTGAAATAGTTCAGTTTTCTTTGCTATAAAAATCACCTTTCCCGTGGGTATATTTTGGTAAACTTTTTGTATGTTGTAGATATAAAATTTAACTATATGTATTCATAAAAAAACGTTTTGTTGCAATTATGTCCAACTTTGGTGCTTCAAATCCGTATTTCTGGTGGACTATTGTCTGTATTGTCCTTGCAGAATGTTGATTTCATATGCTCTTGGAATACTGAAAAATTCATGACTTCTTTGAGAGATTGTTGTTATATTAGAGCTATGGGTGATCTTTTATAACATGCATTTATCTTGTTTTTTTATTTAAATTTATTTTTAAAGGTGGGTCAATCATCATAAATGTTTAATTAGAAACTAACAGAGCTTTAACTCTTTATTGGAGGTGGTGAATGAACCACTCTCTCTTGTAGAAATGTCACTAATGTTGACTGTTGCACAGCCTCCATATCTTAATATTTAAAGATCTAATAATAATAATAATAGTGTAGTTTTATATAGCACATATATCCATCTAATGTTAGATGCTCAGGGAGCTTGATATGTGGTCTAGGAACTCGATCAATGACTTCCTTCCCCCCTAAGGGTCCCTTCGTGTCTGTGCTACCCGGTAACCCAGTACCAGCAACTCTCGTCGTCCACCACAGGGGCTGTCTGTTCCAGTACACCGGGGTATCCCTCTACTCGACTCGAAGGATGTACAGGGTTATTTATAGTGCACATGAGCCATTGTATACACTGGGCCTACGGTTTATAGTCCTTATCCGAGAAGACCACCAGAATCATAGGCGAGCGTGCCGTTCGAACCAGCGCAGATATTATGGCTATAGCTTGCAGCGCCCCTGCTAACCGCTCGGCCATTTGACTCACCATACTCAGACTATGAGTGGCAATCAGTGGTTGATGTTGCATAAGGCAGTCACTCACACAAAGCAAATAATAGGGAGGTTTGGATTGCACGATGACGGTATGATGTAGAAGATAATGACATCATCAGTGCATGCAAGAACGTTAAGTTTTCCTTAAAAATCTTAAATCCTTATTTCTAAAATTATTAAATCTAAATTCCTTAAATCTACGTATGCAGTGAAAATAAGACGCCTGGCAGGATGGTCACGCATGAGTGATTCTGTTCTAGGTCGTGTCGTCCTAGAACAGTTCCCCAATGAATCAAAGCCAACAATAAAGCCGGGCACCCACTACATCATACGACAAAGCCAGCTCCGCTCTCTTTAGTATTAAATGACAAGGTGCCACCTGCTGATTGTCGGTGGCAGTCTGAATGGATCGTCATTAAAAAACGATCCATTGCAAGCACGTCATGGTGTTGCGTTCTTCATACAATTGCGTCGGCCAATGACTGTCGTGTGCAGTGAATGCCTGGGTTTAGTCGCCAACACAGTGTTTTCAGGCTTGAGAATAAAAAACAAAACTACATAATAATACATATATACTAATGCAGTACATTATACAGTACATATACTATTACAGTACACAGTGGAAGACAGCTACAGTATGGTGCTTAGACTAATTAATTATTATATCCTTTAACTATTCTACAGTATATCTCATGTTTTATTTTTTTTAAATTAAGTTTTCAATGTTTTGCATTTTACTTACGAAATAGTAGGCTTCTTGATTTCTTCAATTTTAAACAAGAAATTTCAGCATGAAATGTAAGAGATATCGTCTTCCACTGTCACAGCAGTTACATATAACACCTAAATGACATAAAACAATTAAACTTCGAACAAGATATCTCATTGGTTATTCAAATTACTAAATCATATGATGACCAATCGACTTAGGGGTTTTTTTTATGCTTGTATGAAAATTTGTAGTTCTTTCCTTGTATCGGTTGTGACATGAATGATTTTGTTTCACATAAACCTGGAGTTAAGTAACACGCTTCTCTTCTTATCAGTAGAAGGTTTCGTGGTCAGCTATGCATCTACTCTTTAATCAACTACTCAGGTGAAGCTGTATCTTGGTTTTTAAAAGATGTTTACCTTTTAGTCCCAGGTTCCTAGGTTCAAATCCTGTCACCAGGATATGTTTTTCTTTGACTAAAACCAGCTCCAGTCTTGGACTCCCAGCATTGTTACAGAAAAGAGACTTTTAGTTTATAAAGCATCATTCCATCCTGTAAGTGGAGAGTGTACTTTACTTGCCATTAGATGTGAAAGAAATAAAGAAAAAAACAAAACAAATACAACTGACATAAAGCCATAAACACATATACTGTACAGTACTGTAGCTTGTGCTCTCCAGGTTCAATTCTATCCGCTGCTCTCCTTGTGTAGTTTACGGATACAGAGTGGCAATAACGAGTTCAAATTCAACCCTTTATTTTCTGAACTTCTTGAACTTCGTTGCTGTTACAAAAGATACAAAATAACATAGTATATATAACATCTGTATAATTAGCCTATGGTTTTACTTTTATTGCAATAATCCTGTTATGAACATACAAGTTAATAATATAGTCTATCGTCTACAATGAGTAATCAAAGAATAATGTGATTTAAATGAACATAGAATATAATTCGATGACAAAATATGCAGAGTATTATATGTATATGATTATTTAACACAATTCCAATGGTCCAGCCTAGCACAGGATATGCATTATTATCACAGACCTACATATAAATGTAGCCTATTATATATTATCGTCCAGGTGTTCATCTACAAATGTAAATACCTGTGTAGTATCCACCATCATCTTTATGATATATTATTCTTCAATCAACCTTATAGCATCAACCTTTGAGCATATAACACCTACTCTTCATCGCCTGCACTGGTTACCTGTTAAGCAATGCATCTCATTTAAATTGTTGCTTTTCACATATAAATCATTAAATAATAAATCACCCTCATACATATCCAACCTGATTAAACTTCGCTCCGCCACTTGTTCTAGAGCTTTAAGATCTACATCTAGTTCATCTACATTATTCATCCCTTCATGTCGTACAAGAAGGTATGGTGAAAGAGCATTTTCCGTTGCTGCTCCCAAGGTGTGGAATAGCTTGCCTATTTTTGTTCGTGAGTCTCCTTCTGTTGAGATATTTAAAAATCGTCTCAAGGCTCATCTCTTTAGTTTATTTTAATTTGCAAATTTCTAGCGCATAGAGACCTATGTATTTTGCGCTTTACAAATCCAAATTATTATTATTATTATTATTATAGACAACCTACAGTAATACATTAACTGAACTATCAAGTAATTTAGGCTACAGCCCATCATTAACAAGAAATTTATGCTAATATCGTTATACCCTAAACTATGCGGCTGGTCTCCTACCACTTGTTATAAGTCAATCGTGATGTCATCACTGTAACTCGCAATGTTATTTGCCTATTCCCCAGCGTCCAATAATTTTTTATTATTGGACACTCAGCTTGATTTTTTTAAGGTTCGTGTGCAAAAAAAAAATTCTCATTTTTTTCGTCACCAGCGTGAATACATCGCGCACCACGATAAAAATTGAATTGTAATTGAAAATTTCTTTCGTAAAACAAGCTTAATTAGAACCCGAAGAAAGTTACTTCAAATTCAATATTAAGTATGAACAATTAAGGAATTCATTGAATCAATGGACCCTCATAAACGCAATCAAGTGAATGTTTACAATAATCGTACAATAATTTTCCTATAGTGTGCTATGCGGAGCTCTACTGATTTCTTATTATTTCTTAATAGCATATCTAGGCCTATACAACTGAATACAGTAAATAATAGCGCATACAGTATCTGTTACGCAAACAGGCTTACTGTAAGTTTGCTCACTCCGTCTCTACAATTCCAATTCAGCCTATTATTAACATGAAAAATTCCAATAATGATCATTGCAAGTCAACAACATAATTCAGCCTAAAATACAACCGGCCAAACAACAACTGCCTTGATAAACCTTCTTCACTGTAACATTATGTGCATCTTAAAATCTTAACTAGGTCGGGTACACGCCCGCACAACCATTCCGCAACTCTGGGGACGTTTGACACAATATTAACTATATCCTAAACTCAACACCTTGTGTTTCTGCTGTAGGTCTGAAATACAGGTTATAGTAGCCCACCATCTTTCACATGAGAGGAGCCGTTGGTATCGTGTGCAATATGAGCCAATTGCATGTTAAAGAATACAGTACACGCTTTGGAGAAAAGTTTGGGATTGTCTCCCTGTGTACTGCATCCTGTCTATAAAAGAGATGAATGGAAAAGAAATAAAAATGCTTTCTTTTTAGACTTTGTAAATCATTTAAGCCTGGTTCTCACAAGAACCCTAGTATCCGGATCGGGAGCTAACCGTTAGTGCTAACCGTTAGCACCTGCGTGAGAACGCCCGAACAGTTAGCGCTAACCGTAAGCAGTGTCCGGATACCGCTAACGGTTAGCAAGCGCTATCGGTTAGCAAGTTGAGCGCATTTTTATCATCAACCAATCACACGTACACATTTACAATTTCCAGTTTCCTATTGGCCAGTGATTCAATCATCATATTTTTGGTATCCAGATTGGGATTTCTCGTAAGGACGCACGACAGCTAATGGTTAGCAGGATCCGGATCCTGCTAACCGTTAGCAGCCGTGTGAGAACAGAGCCTTAAAGTGTTCCCCTTGCAATGGTAGAAGGCAGAGTATACGTTTTACTGTTCTCTAAGTTCAATCGTGCTTTATTCACAAATCAAAAAATTGCACAAAAGAAAGTTAAAGTTTAATCCACGTTCGAACTTGGAACTCAAACAAAGCAGGACAAAAGCAGGACAAAATAAATTAAGATACAGCAGTGGCAATATGCATATAATTACATTTTTTTTAATAGTATATTATATGTTGCTTTTCTCTTGTAGGATTCATGGGAAGGATCGGCGTACTTGAGTATTATATGTGTCATTGCCTTCGTTGTCGGTTTTGCACTTGGGCCAGGTAAATATATATTTGTATAGTAAAACCTAATGAAGTGTTGCACAGTGGCAAGTGTGTCATTTTAAGTTTTCTACTTGTCTTAAGAGCACTGCAGGTAATTGTTGTAATTTGATTCTTAAAATCACATATACATGATACGCCTGGCATTAAGCGTTGTTGATAGTGTCCACGCTTTAAGTAGTTGTAGGCCACTGTTTCATGCATTACTAGCTTCCTTTAATGAAAACACAGGTATTTGTGTATGAGAATGTGTCCGCAACACAAAATCAATAAATATATGTTTAAAAGACTTATTGCGTGTGAATTATCATGTTTACATATTTTGAATGAAGTTTGAGCATAAGAATTCAAATCCAATTTATCGATAATTACGATTTCTACGCGGTCATATTTGAGTCTGCTATCCTTAAAAGGCAATTTATCTATGTTTGTCTTTTCCACCCACCAACTATAGTACAATAATGGTTTGCATGTAAAAATTAGGATGCTTTAAATGTCAAACATTGTTTATTCGTGCAAACAAATGTGTTGCTTACAATAGGCACAAAATTAATTATTTTGTAAACATTCCATAATTGGATCCTAAAACAAAGAAATGCAATAATACCTTATCTGTGAAATGTAAATATCAACACCCATATAAGCTGTAAAAATAAAAGATATTAAATAAAAAATAATAAAAGTATTCAAAATAACATATACTAAACTAGGAAATTTGCATTACCAACACAAAAGTGACTGGTAGAATTTTAAATGTTTTACAGTTTTTGAGTGTGCAGTTATATATTGCTCAGTATTTAGACACATAGTTTTATCCACCTGAAGTGTTGGTTTCTGGTCATCATGTCAAAAGTTTATTTAATGTGAAATTGAAAGTGTATCTGCCAGGAAAAGAAATAATAATCTTGTGATTATCATGTGCAAACCAATTGACATAATGCAGAACCACTTACTTTAAATTTGAAATAAATGGACGTATTCGACTGGTCGTTCTTCGTTAAACCACGCCCTTTTGCGCAGTGATAAAATCATACTTAAGGAAGATGACCAGTGGAATAGAAAATTATTAAATATTTGACAAAACAAAATGGCTGTATAATCAAGGTTGCTTCGGCTAGTGCCAGTATGGGTTTTTGGTAAAAAAATGTTTTCATCTAGTTTTTGAATTCTGTTAGCCTAGAATTATTTTTTTGGCTTTAAGTGGGTAAATATTATAATTTTTATTTTCTGAAATTTAATCTAAATTGTATTAACGCAAATGTTGTAGCTAAACTGACTAATCGGCCATTGTTTTGGTTAACTTAACGCTGATTAACGCACTCTAGTTTACAATAATTTTTGTTGTCAACAAAGTCTATTTTACGAAACAGTTGAATGAAAATAATACTCAACGAAAAATCGTAGTCAACGAAATGAACCAGTCGAATAAGCCCATTGACTCAAATTTAATTTGTATTTAGAATGCTGAATTAGAATGCAACATGATCAGAGCTTAATTTTGATCCATAATTTGTGGTACTAGTTACTTAACAAATTAAAATGAAGAGATAATAGAGTAAATTCCAAATATCGGTTGGTACGTTATTAATATTTTTCCACTTTTCTGTTATTGTTCTCACCTGGTCCTGCAGATTATGTGTAGAATTCTAAGTCTAACACTCGCATGTTGCGAACATTAAACTTTTAACAATGATGATGATTCTTTTTGGTCTCCTTGCCTGCAAATAAAAATTGGACCTGATTACCCTCAATAAAATGACACAAAATTGGTGGACGGACTAGTTTCAATCAGTAGACTGAATGATATTTTCAGTTTTGTATCCATACAAGGAGATGCACAAGATTAAAGTTGCTATGCGGACACCAATTATTATTATTGTTATTATTATTATTATTATTATTATTATTATTATTATTATTATTATTATTATTACTGTATTTAATGTTAATCTTATTGGTGTTGTTATTACCATTACTACTTCAGTAACATTGTTGCGGTTATAATTAGTTATTGTGTTTTTGTAATTAAAGTATAGTTTTGTATTTTGTAATTTTAAGTTTTAATATATCTTAACTATTTAGTATTAAATTAGTATTTAATACTGTTGAATATTTTTATGCTTCTAGGATCAATTCCATGGCTGATTGTAGCCGAGTTGTTTTCACAAGGTCCACGAGGAGCTGCCATTAGTGTTGCGTTCTTCATTAACTGGTCGGCAAATTTTTTAGTTGGATTAACATTTCCGCTCTTACAGGTAAAAGAATTTTCATCAGATTTAATAACACCTCTTTTTTTGAAAATATCACCACAAATGTTTGTTACTATTTATTATTAGCCTTCCCAAAGGAACAAAGCTCCAGGGAAACTAATGTTTTAAGCCATGTTTTTCTACATGATGTCATTGTCGTTGTTGTTGGGTAAATTGATTGTTACCACGATAGTTAAAAACTAAAATTCTGAATGATTTCAAACTTGGCAGAATGCAAGATGGTAATATGAAGATGGAGCCTAATGTTTTTGGTACATATGTGAATATGATAATTGCTCATTTGCATAATTAATATTTCACTAATCAGGAAATTTACAATAAATTAACATCATAACTTTCTTTTACATATTTTTTGTTAATAAACTATTAATAATTATCAGATTTAACAGAGCTTTGTTCCTTTGGGGAGGCTAATTTCTGTTATTAGGCCTGTAAATCCCAATCTGTGATGCTTCCCCTGGGCCCCCTCTTTTGTGACAGTATTTAAAATCAAATTATAACGTTTTATGTAGTCCTTACAAATTCTTTCTGGAAAAAAAATTCACTGTGGGGAGGCTATGCTTCTACTCCGCAGCGTAAAAGGAGTATTTCTAGTTCTTATTAATAATACTTAGGTAGGCGACCAACATTGTGCCAGGGGAGAGATTAATGGTTGACACTTTGAGACCTAACACTGTTTGCCACCACACCATAAATTATATTATTGTACATGAAGTCATCATGCTTTTTGTTTTATAGTTTGATGTAAAGCAAATAAAGGCACTGCCCAATATGCGCTATATAAATATAAATTACTATTATTGTTGTTGTTATTATTATTTATCATTACATTCATTTCTATTTTCCAGAAATCGTTAGATGCCTATGTTTTTGTCATCTTTATCATCCTTCTTGTACTATTCTGGTTGTTTACCTACAAGTTTTTACCGGAAACAAGAAATAAAAGTTTTGAAGAAATATCTGCGATATTCCGCAGAAATGTCAATAAACCAGATAGTGAATATGTAAGTATTCCCTCCAAACAGGCTGCGACACAAGACAACAAACTATAATATCGGCGCTACTCTAATGCATTTTTAACGCATGTTGCTTTATTTTTGGTACTGCCCTTGTATGTTTAGTTGATGCTACATTTTTATTTCACAGTACATTACATACCCACAGCTTATGTATGTACAGAGTATGAACCATGGGTATGGGAATACAGATGAATCTCTGATTTATGGCACTATAAGTTACAACACATTTTATATATTCTTAAACCACAAAAATTTAAAGTATAATTCTTAAATGAACTTTTTTTTTATTGTGATTCTATAGCCATTCTGCTATTGGCTCTGCACGTACTTGTTAACAGTAAGCAAACTAATGTGAATATCTTTTTCATTTCCTTAACCCTTTCCAGTCATATGGCATCGCGACGACGCCCTCTTTTACCATACTTTATTGCGAGGGGCGTCGTACGTACACCCTGTACAGATTTCATGATAATTATTTTATAGCTAGGCTGCCCTCTATAGGATTTTTTGAGAGTGAAGTAGGAGTATTTCTGTAGAGGGCCTCCTGTATTCAGACCAAATAAAATGCCTGCGCCCAGTAAAAACCCGACATTTAGTGTAGATGATGTAATTTCCCAGCTTTGGTACAGCCTCAGGCAATGGTAATGGAGCAGACTGGAAAGGGATAAATCATTGTAAATTATATAGTCCTAGTCAGATTATTATGTTACAAATAATTTTGAAAATACAAATAATAGAGAGGTTTCGCACGCGAACGAATACGTGTATGCATACGTTTAGCTATCCGTGATGGTTCGTAGCCATTCTGTTTTTTGCAATCGCAGCGCAAATCAAGCGTAGCCTAGGCCTAGGGCCTTAGCTCAGGCCTACTAGTACTATTTATTCTGTTCTCTTCTCTCAACATGCTTCTCAAACTTTTATTAGTATACCGTACTCGCGCGAATAAGCGCCTCGTTTGAATAAGTGCCTCATTTGAATAAGTGCCCCCTTCTAATTTGAATAAACACCCTCTCAATAATTCAATCAATCCTGGACTGTGGATGTTGGCATGATTTGAGGTGTGGAGTGGAATCACATTCTCCTTTAGTCAATATCAAAATGAGGATATTTATCTTGGACAGATGAGAGCTCCCTGGACAGACAGTATAATTCCAATTTTCTCTTCTTACATTTTTCTATAGCCTAGTCCCACTGCTTTTCCGACAATTTGCACCTAACACATTCTCATCTGAGTTTTCAAGAAAACATGCAATGATCATGCATTCACTGTAATCTCAATTGGTCGATGGCCAACAAGCCAACCACCACCACTAATTTCATCTGCTATTCTGCTGTTATGTAATAATGTACTCACAACATTCTTGTCATGACAAGCCATACTCTCTGGACGATTATCTTTTCCGCTGCACCACCATTCGTAATTTGCGGTTTGCTGATGTCCTTATATAATCATTTTTCATTCAAATTGTACCTCTTGAATTTAATAAGTTCTTATAATAACCACTCGATTTTCATCTATTTCCATTAGCGCCCCCTCAATTTCCACTCTGTTTTGATAAGCGCCCCGTTCGAATAAGCGCCCCTCAAAAAGTGTAAAAAATATTTTAAGCATCCGGGCGCTTATTCGCACGAGTATTATATGTTAGGTTTTGGAAATTAAAATTGAAAATTGTAGCCAAAAACTACTTCCTTTGTTGCCCAGAAGTGTTAGTGATATTAATATTGTCTATGACCCAAAGGTGTCTGCTACAATTAAGTATGCTAGGCCTACACAAAATCCCAATACCACCAAGGTCAAAGCACCGACGTTTTGATACCCTGAAATGAGATGCATCCTATCGTAATTTGTTGTCTTCAAATGTCACAAAAATGGCACATACGTATTCAAAGATACATTTATTTTTTACAAATGTGAAAAAATAAACAAAGATCCTACAAGAAATCCAAAATTTTCCTACGCGTTTTTCACTTACATGTAGTGAGCGAGATATGCGTGTCATCCACACGTTTAGCGGATAGCAGCCGGCGTATGACGTCAAAATGATGACGTATCCGACACACTAACCATACACATTCGCGTGCGAAACTTCCCAAATGTTTAGAGATAAAACATAAGCAATTCTCTAGTTTCATAGCCATAAATCAGTATTACTTTCAGAGTATTATTACACGCATGTGGACATATGCCTGACTTGATAATCTGATCTTAAATTGATCTGTCAGTTTTACAAAGTAGTTCACCCTCCGTTCGAGACTACCTTTGGGACCTGAAAATTTGGGATTGTCTTGGGGTTTGGTCTCCATTCAGAGGGTTTATGTTTAAAGATTGAAAATTGTTATTTGGCTCTTTGAGAGGGGTCTTGATTTGGAGTGGTCTCGATGTGGAGTGTGTACTGTATTTCCCATTTACGACGACTGCTTGTACCAAAACTGTACGTAAATCAGAGGTTGACTGTATGTGTGTTTTACCTAGTCTGCCGCCACTAAATCCCCAAAAATGTGGCTGTTTTTTTTTTAAATTATATTTTGTTAATTGGCCTAATTACAAAGACGACCAATCAGTTTTTTATAAGCCTAATTTCTGTTTATTTGCAATTTACTTTTTTGATTATGAATCCTCTCCCCAAGAAAAATGAAAAATTATTGTGTAATTTGTATTTTGTATGAAGGTCAACAGAATGCTCAAGGGTATTCCTTATACGTTAAAGATAAGGATGAAAATATATTTTTAATATTTTCAAAATATATTTTACGTTATACAGTTTTGGACTATTCATAGATACAGTATTGTGTTGGTGTTCAGATATTTATTTGTTCTTTCTTCTTGGTTGTTATAAATCATCACTTATTTCTTTAATTTCTTTATTGACCACTGTTTCTATAACTTATGTATTGGTTACAAAGAGTACTACAATGTACTATTTTTTTTTAATATTCAAGCTTATTATTTACTGTTGTTAATTAAAATACTACTATCATAGTTTGGGGAGGTACTTTGGGAATTATGTATTATTTATTTTATATTTTTGTTCATATTTATTTTTATATTTATTAATAATGTATATTTTTTGTTATTGTTCAAAATTAACATGTTGTTTATTATTATTATTGTTTTTAATTTATTTGTTCCTATTACCTCCGCCAAGGAGGTTATGTATTCACCGTTGTCTGTTTGTAATTGGAAGATTGAGCAAAAATTAATGAATAGCTCTTCATAAATGTAATGGAATGGTACAATATATTCTAAGAGATGATTAAATTTTAGGGAGGAAAAGGTCAAATGACAAAATCAAAGTCATGGAAATTTGATTTTTTTTTTTGACCCTCAAGCATACAAGAAAATAATGGAATCGCCCATTCACGGCCTGCATATTGTTTGGTATCTTGGCACAGGGTTGCGGTATGACCACTCTATGGAGTGAATGCTCTAGTTATTATTGTACCTCACTGTTTCTGTTATTACTGCAATGATACTCTATAATATGTAGACACAATTTTGTTGTGTTTTTTTACTATGGCGACATAATGACAGTGAAATCGCTCATCTTGTCCTGTACTCTGTTGTGTTGAGGCACTGTTTTTGCATTTACTCACTACTCTGTAATGTTTTTGGCACTACTTTCATAAAGTATTTTGTGAAGGTGTGTGCAAGCAATTATACTCTATCAGATAAAAAGCCTTGTTAATTAAGAGAATATTAGGCAAAATATGTCAAATAATATATCTTTCATATTAACATGTACAGCAACATGTTTCTCAGAATATTTTTATTTTTTTAAATTGTGTGTAAATATTGGTTGTATTGTATTGGTGTATACTTTATAGTAGACTTGAAACATCATGTATTGAAAAATATTGTACATACTTTGACCTGTAAAGTGGTTTGTGTCAAAGGTTAATTATTCATTCATGTCTAATGTTATTTATTTATTTTTTTATTTTTTTTTTGTGTTCGATTGGAACCACTACCAACAGTTCACAGTGGCAGAGCCAAGGGACTACCCCTTAGTAGAAACCAGAAGTGAACTACTTATCTAGAGCACACCTATACATCAATTATTTAATATAATTTTGACTTATTTTGTAGAGTCTTTTGATAAAGTTTTTAACAATAAGGACCAAAAAAAGGCTTGGTTGTCCAATCAAAAATACAGTCAATCTTGTTTTAGACAAAAGTTTTTTTTAACCAAGAATATTATATAAAATTTGATAACGAATATTTTCAAGATCTAATTTATTATTTAATGTAACACCAGGGATTTTAAAATTTTTACAGTAAAAATACATAAATGGAGTAATAATTTACTATTAATCCAAACATAGGCCTAGGCATGGTACAAAAAAATGCAAATCGCACAAACCAATCATGATATTTGATTTTACTGATAAAGAAACACAACAATTTATTTAATAATTTATCATCTTTTATTAGAAAAACCAAAACTCAACTGCCAACGGGTGTAATTATTGTTGTGTATATATAGTATTTAGTTCTTATAGTTTTGTTTTTACGTATAATTTTGATTATGATTAATTGGAAAGTAGATAGCTAATTAGTAATTACAGAAAGAGGCCAAGTACGTTTCTGTAATAAGATTACCATAATTACAATCTTCTGAAACTAAGCATTGGATTGTGTGGGATGTCAATTAAATTGATCTAAGAGCATGCATAAATCTTGCACTAAGCTGTATTATAGCATGTTTTTATAACCAACAAATCATCTAATAATAAGAGAAAGATGTACAATATATTCAGAACCAACCTAATGGGTAAATGTCAAGTAAGCAGACAAAACATTAAAGACAAATCCACAAGGACAAAACCCACCAGAAATCAGACTGGTCCATTAGACTATAGGGGTTTGTCTTGATCTTCCTAAGTTGTTCTTAGCTGGATTGTGGTATACTAACAGGCTTTTTGGTCAAGTGGTACTGTAAGACACTGCAAGCTGGAGCAACAAATTAAGACAACTGATAGGGAAAATTAATGATGAATTAATATTTCTCCATAATGGTGTGGGTTGTCCAGTCTGGTGGCTTATTTCCACCCTAAATGTTAACTTGGCCGTTGAAGTTTAGTCAAATAGTTTTTAAGCTGTTTGTGATACAAGTTTATGCCATTGGGCAAAGTTTTTTTTTAAAGGAATACCTTAATTTATTACAAGGAAAATACAGTATTTGTATGTGTAAAGACACGGTTTTGAATAAGAGCTATGTCAGTGGGTTAATTGTAACATTGTTACATTCGCTTTTGGTACAGGGCCACACAACGAATTGATGTGTTCAAATGCAAGGAAGAAAACTTAAAAATGTAAAATTAGTAATTAAAAAAATTGAATTCAATAGCAGTGGAGAAGATTTCACTTGCCCTATAAACTTGTATTCGCATTGGACTACTTTTAGCCAAGAAAAAGTGTAACTTTGCCTTGGCTAAATTATGTGATGTTTCAATTAGTGTTTAAATATGCAGTAGGTTTTTTACGAGCTTTGTAAAGCTCGAGCATAGTATTCTAATTTGAAAAATATCAAACTAGAACATGGGTTCGTACGTAGACATGTTTAAATTTGAACTTTAGTTGCAACAATGCCGATGAAAAACGCACAAAACTGACACTCAGGAACACTTGACTGAGTGTTGCAATTCATACAAGGCTTTCGGTTTTTTCATTTTGATTGTCAGTGGTAAATGTGTACAGTTTCTTTAAAGTTAATAGTTAACAGTTAGTAGAACGTAATGATGTCACTAAAAAGTCATCTACGCATGCGAGAAATTTAAGTTCTTCCATGGAGGTATAGGTTCTAGGGCACAATTTGGATGAATCTACTTTGTGCATGCAGAGAACTTAGGACGGTCACGCATGAGTTAATTCATTCTGGTGTTGCGTCGTCGCGCAAAGGAAAGCTCCCTAATTATTAGAGCTTGGAGAAGTATTCTATATATTTTTATTATTTTCTTTTATGGAGCAATCGATCATTAAAGGTCTAGCACCCCACTAACTTACATGACTAACTGATTGATATTTTTCTGTTATGATGCCACTATGTCTAAAGTTTATATATTGTGAAATTTTCAATGATATATTTTGAATCTAATTTTTATCATGCACAATCAAATTAAAGCAACATAGGATTATGTAATGCAAATGCAGGAGTAGACCATAACATAATTTCAAGAATTTAAAATAAAAATATTTATGATAATGTAATTTTTATTAAGGGGTGTAATAATGTACAATGATTAACAAGTACTCCTGATTATAGATCAAATTGGTTATGGTGTTTTAATATGATATTGTAAATATATGCAGAAAACATTATTTACATTAATTTTGGTATTATACACAGTACTATGTTGGTATAATGTTGATTAATTAAAGAAAGTACAGTATATCTGAATTTATTAAGAATGATTAAAATGATTGATTGCCTATCGAATTATGCATTCCAAGTGTATTATTAATTTGCCTTGTCGAGTGCTTTTTTTTTTGCCAGAAATGGTATTGTTACCGTATTGTATTATTACTACAGTATATTAGGTTTACACATCTACGACGGGAAAAGAAAACTTGCTGTATCTGATTATTGTTTTTCGTTCTATTATGATGTGATGCTTTGTTGACTGTACTTGGTTGGTTGAGGTACTTTTGTTGTTTATTGGAAATTTATTTAAACATTTACCAAATTATGCCTGTAGTTTTTACCTACTAGCATGGAAGTTTTAATCAATAATATGAAAATGGTTTAACATACAGTTAGTTTAGCCAATCAACCGACACACTTCACCATTATTTGCATGAAATTTTGTCACTAACAAAAGAATAAGGAAATCACTTCTGCTGCTTGTTAAAGTGAAAAATTACATCACTTATTTTCGTCTGCTGTCAGAGGACACTACATAATCTTTCTCTGTCACCCTCCCTTCGATTTTAGAGAGTTTGTACGCAGTTTTTAATTACTGAAGTAAATTATTAATTAATGAAGTTTGCCCTAGCTGACATGTTATCATACTGAATGCTCAGTACGTTCCCAAAGCTTGCGAAAAAAATGTTGCAAGATATTTGAATTGGAATCAAACCCACGACCTCCAAATAACTAGCATGATGTGTTAAGACTACTGAGCTTGTGCTTGGTGGCTAGTGTTGAATTTGATCCACAAGTAGCAGCGGGTACTGCAATGCTATTCCGACAGCATTTTGCATCATCAGAAATTATACAAATGATGTTTGACCTAATGGCTGACCATTTAGTGCATTCCCAAAGATTGTGAAAAAAACTCCATCAGAATAGTATTATATTACATTGTTAATATTATTGTTTTATTAATATTGTTATTGTAATTATGATTATACAAATTGATATACAATGGTATACTGTAATTATTGTCATACATATTATTTATTGTGATGATGATTACTGTTTATTATTTTTATTATTGGTGTAGTTGGTATTGTTAATAATAATAATAATAATAATAATAGTAATAATAACTTATATAGCGCATTTTTAATTAAAACTGTTCAATGCGCTTTACAAAAGTTAAAATGGACAAATCGAATCAAAATACAGTATACAAAGAATAATTATACAAAGTTTAAGATTAAAAACTACCAATTTTAAATTAGAATGCACATTAAAATGTATTATTATTATTATTATTATTATTATTATTATTGGTTTTAATGTTAATGATTATTAAATTATCGATTGTCATTATAAATACTGTATGATTATTATTGTTTTATTTTATTTTTTTTTTGTCTGTAATCTTTCAGGAGCATTTATTGGATAACTCCGCAGATTATGACTCCTGTTAAATATCTTTCAGGTACTTCCTTAATTCATATTTAGAATGCTCTTTCAAAAGTTGTACATTACACGCAAATGTGAATTTATGATCTGCACCACAACCAATGACTGCACTGACATCTACACAAGGACTTTAAAACTCTTTCATCTACGGGTGCTGCTTTTCAGCTTTGGGTGAATGCAAGCCTGGCATTGATTTAGTTATTAAAATGACACTTCACATTTAGAATTGTAGCACTCACTTGCATGATGTGGACTTACTACCTCTGTGTGTATGTACGTAGGGTGTGCCTTTCTCAACAAAATTCATGTAACCGACAGTTAACACAGGACCCTTTTGGAAGGCAGGCTCCATTGCTACTTTAGGACGATGGTGGTGATATGATGACTGCTAATAATCATTTGTATTTTTATGTAGTATTTAAATAAAGTATAGTAAAATACCAAACTTACATGAATATTAATTTTCAAATGGATAACACCTTCTTCAATGATAAACATTTATTCTACCCATGAGACAAAATATATATTTGGCATGTAAGGCAGAATTCTCACCAAAGTCATGCACACAAATAATATGGGCAAACTGTCAAGAGAGATGATTTGTTAAGCATCTGCTCTCTTTAGCGCCAATCTGATTTAGATATTTATTTAATTTGCATTAATTTTTAAAGTTGTGTACATTTTGTTTTTTGTTGTATCAATGTTGACCAGAAATTTGTTTGTCCACTGTTCCTTTTTGATGAAGCGAATGAGTGATGAACACAGTAATTAGTTGGGTGATGGGTTCACTTAATAAAATAACACAATATTGTATCATTCAAGCCACGATCCTCTTTGCCCAGAATTTGTTTTGGCACGACACTGAATCTGCAGATTGTACTTGTATTTATTATTGTTTTAATTTTTGCTTGTAAAATTAGTGCATTTGATCCTTTGTGCTTTGGCTTCTTTCACTTTGAACGTAGACACAACCTTGTCTATAGAAGCCTGTTTGTTCACTTTCTGCACCTTCAGTTTCATTGGAAGATTTTTATGTTGGTTTTTAAGAAAGATTTGAACAGATAAAGTAATTCTATTATAATATAT